AAATGGGCATAAGTCTTTTACACGTCCTACATTAAACATTTTATGTAGATTATAATTTGTGATGGCGTTACTTATTACAGTGACAAATCGATTCAATAATTTTCACAATAATTTCATTAATATTAACAGTAAGAAGCTGAAATCATAACATAATACTAATATAACATAAAGACATGTAACAGAGTAGTTGCGGGAAAATTACTCCCACTTCTTCTATTTTTTCTGACTTCTGCGGTGTAAATCCCAGCTCGGCATATTTGCCGGAGTTACCCTACATATAAAGAATAGCATTTCAGATTGATTGTGTTTAAAAAGTCCAAACGTTTCGGCGCACAGTCATATCTGAGATAAATTAAATTTATAAACCAAAAATATTATATTATTCGAAACATCTAATCATCTTTGGCGATCTTTGGCACTCTACCATATTTAAATTATATATAATATAAAATAAAACTTAATTGAAATAATATTTAAATATTCATGGCAATTTAAGGGAAAATATTGCTTTAATATTAAATTCTAATGAAATCAGATTTATATTTGAATTGATCGAATGACCTTGACGTGTACGTCAGTCTTGAAATCGATCTAGGAAAAGGATCAGGCAGTAGCATTGTAGGACGCAACAGGAAACCTAAATTGATATTCTTTTCACTCATCTTGTCCTCTTTATAGGGATTCGAGTTCTAGGAGAGCCAAGAATGGAAAGAGTATTGAGCATGGTTCCTTTCGAATCCTTCATTCACTGTCTCACTGAACCCGTACCATCTGGTCTTCCACCTGTGCCTAACCAACTGTTTCTTTGCGAGTATAAGTCCTTGCCAGAGCAAGTCCGGTTTCAATCTCAAATCTCTTTCAGCATTTTATCTCATGACAAGGTAAGATAGCGAGTAAGATAATACGAGTATCAATCCACATTTAAAAGTGTCCATCCATTCTCCCAAATATGTATATAGATAAAATTTTGCATCTTGATATCGAAACAATCGAAGTGTGTGAGATGATCTCTTTCAATAAGAAAACGTTAAAAAATAGTTATCTTTTAGATTTGCGCGTGTATAAATATTCCATATTATATAATTATCTGACAATTAGCTTTTTTAAGCAAAAGATTAGAAAAGATTATTTTGATATAATAATTTTTAAATTTTTTACAAAAAATTCCACAAGTTTGTAACAGACCTTTTCTCATGAATTACAGGAAGATATATTTGAAATTTTAAATTGCAACTTTAATGCACGCGTACGTTAATAAAGTAATAATTAAAGCTATATATATTGCTCCCTTTTTTGTACGTGCCTCATAGTGTTAATACGATTTCATGGGAATTAAATGAACATAATAACCCTTTTATTCCTTTATCGAACAATATCCATTATTACAATATTGCATCATGGTTTTATGTTATGCAAGCTTTGAACTTTTCCATGATCATTTTCAAGATGAGAGAATACAAAGTAAAAAATAAAAATTTTTACTTGCAATTCTTAAAGACTTTTTATATCTAATTATAATCTTACATTTTATTAATAAAAAGTTCTCAATTTATAATTAAACATTAAGAACATAGAGAATGTAAATATTATAAAAAAAAGAGTGCTGTTATATTTTAAAAAATAAAAAAAATAAGTAAATCTTTAGTTCCTAGTTCTTAAGTGTGATTTATATTTGTATATTTAAAAAAAAATTACCGCAAAGAATAAAATTATAAGTGGTTCCGGCCGGGATCGAACTGGCGACCTTCTGCGTGTAAAGCAGACGTGATAACCGCTACACCACGGAACCTCTATAATTTTCAATGCTCGTTATATTCATGATTATTTACCGATTCTTAATAGATAATTATTATTCTTAAATAATTGTATTATTTATTATAAAATTAATTAAATAAATAAAATATAACTATTTTTGTAAATGTTAAGCGGCAAAGTCATTTTTCTAAGACATTAATTTACAATTTTACTTGTAACTCGATCGATAAATCATGTGGCTTTCTCTCACATCGTATAGATGGCAACTGCGTCGTCAAATGTGAATTAAATTTATACGAGTTCGATTTTACACCTTTTCCTTTTTTTAATTTTAATTTTAAATTCAAACCATATATCTTATTTATGATAATAAAAATGTAACAAGAAGAATAAAGGATAACATTTTTAGATATCTTTCTCCAGCAAATGAGAATTTTTTTTGGATTTAATTGGATTCAATTGGATTCAATTAGATTCAAATGTATGCAATTAGATTGAAAAACTGCATTTCCTATTCAAAATTTTGAATTGAACAGTATTCACAATGCACAGAAAAGGCTAATATTATTTTTAGATTGAAAGGTATAGAAATATGATCCATGCAATTCCTATAAATGAATAAAAATGCATTCAGGATTGAAAAGCATTCATTTTAACATTCGTGAATCAATATTTCTGAAAATCTGAATCCATTTCAATTCATTTCAATTTTCCATTCTTGTTTGCTGAGTCATTTATTTAATTTATATTTTAATATAAACTGTCGCGTTTTTACTGTTTTTTTCATTGTTTAACTTAGCAATAAAAATTAGATTTTATCATCTTATAAATTACAGAGTATTTTTTATGCTTTCTTACATATTAAAATTTCACTTAGCCATAAAGAGAATTAAAGCACTTTCACAAAAATTGACTTTTACGTAATATTTATTATTTCTATAACAATTTTAATATTTTTTGCGTCTTTCTTTCATTACTACATTTTATAAGAAAAAATGCAATAAATTGGAAGCTAAGTACTTATACATAACCAAAGCTACATTTTTTACAAAATTATTTTTCAATAAAATTAAATGTGTATTATCATTATAAATATGTGTATAAACGATTTAGAGTGTCTAGCAAGACACGTATTTAGAATAGCGAACATGTAACTTTTTCTCTAGGATGGAAATGTGAAAAGTGAATATTTTTATTATCTTCAATGAGATAAAATTTTTACTTTTTTACGTTTCCATCTTAAGAAAGAGTTATATGATTGCTATTTAACACAAAAACAGTTTAATAAGCGTTTTGCACTGATTGAATTATACTTTTATCGATCTGTATTGAAATAAAGAATTATTTCTCATAGATCTAAAAATGTAATTCAATTAGCGCAAAGTGCTCATTAAACTACTTTTTCTACTAAATGCAACCACTTGTAACGTAATGAATTATTTCTTATTGACAAACAACAAGAACAAAATAATTCACTGTATTATATTATACATTGTATATATGTGTCTGTATGTTATTTTCACAAGAATTTTGATTTTATTGATAATACGAAAATGTGTTAAACACATCTAATACAATGAATATGTAATCATAAGTGCATTATATACATAAATTATTGTTACATAAAATCTATATTTATCTATAGCCTACAATCACACACATGATATAAAAAATGTTCTTTAAAATGAGATAAGCACTTATATAGTATGAAAAAAGTTTCTTCATGCAAGAGTCCTCGGTAGTATAGTGGTTAGTATCCCCGCCTGTCACGCGGGAGACCGGGGTTCGATTCCCCGCCGGGGAGTTTTTTTTTGTAATATTTTTTTATATCATTGTTATATAACAATTACTCTTTATGTTCATTTATGTAGCAGTTTAATATTTAATAACATATACTTTAATAAATTATTTTAGAAAAAATTAAATTAGTATCACACACAAAATATCTAAAATAATATTTGTATCTAATATTAAAAGCTTTGATGTTTTGTACATAATGTTTAGAAAAAATTTGTAAGAAAAGCGATTGATTCTAAATTTAAAGAACAATTTATCATTAAAAAAAATGTAATGCAATTAAATTAAAACATTTTATGAATATTTTCAATATTCTAGTTTAAATTATAATAAAATTCTTCTAGTTTTTCTTATTATATATGTATAACATAAAAGCCCAGTTTTTAATTATATGTTTACCTAATGAACTTGAGATTTAGATTCAACTCACTTTTGATGATAAAATTGTTTTTCTAGCTATAATTAATAATTATGATTAATAGCTATGATTAATTAAACTAGTAGTTTTGTATAACTTTAAAGTTATTCATTATAAAATCATCATTTTAGTGATAGCTAGAACAATACAATTTTTACATATTATTATTAAGTTAAGCCTAGTTATAAGTTAACCAAAAAATCAGTTTAAAAAATTAACATTCTGTTAACAACGGAACCGTTAAAGGTAAATATAATTTAAATACATGATTAGATTAGATAATTTATTTTTACAGAAGATTGCAAATCATGTGTTACTTATACAAAATATCCACGTTATATGTATAATAGATAAATTAAAAAATATGCCGAATTGATCAATATCTATATAGCTATTATTGTACATATAGGAAGATGACAATTTACAGCTGTCGATGTGTTGAAGATAAAAGATAAGATAAGTATTTGTTGGGAGGAGAAATAGATACAACCATATAGCACATAAAAACATACAATCTACATTTTCATTAAACACACATTTATACGAGCACACATTTATGTATAACCACACAAATAAATCGATCCTTTAATAGGAACGAAATATCATAATACATATGTAATAATATAATAGATAATATTAACTGTACGTGTATAATATGTTAAAAATATTGTCACAATACACCGATTATATTCATAATTGTTCTGTTTCTTAGTTACGATAGGATATATTCTATATATAATTATGAACTAACTTTCTATGTGAGGAAAGATTTCGTAAAAAATTTCATTTTGATACACACTTAAAAAAAGGAAATATTAATATTTTTTAATAATATTATTTTAATAATATTAATTATATATTTTTCTGTATTGAAAATGTCTCTAGTTTCCTTCGCAACTACATAAGCAATTAATTACATAATATAAAAGCAAAAGTATTATATATAATTATAAAATATGCATAATAAATGCAGATATTGAATAATTATTGAAACTTGATTAAGACTATTATTTTGCTGATTTGAGGCAAGCTTAAAAAATATTACTGAAAATCAGTGTGCGATATTAATAAATGAAATAAATAATTAGTTAATGAGAAATGCTTCTTATCCGTCGATGTTGATAAATCTTTTAAACGGACTTTTAGCTTTGTTACTTTTAAGCCGCTAAAAATATTCATATTTTCATTTCAACGAGATAGCGAATGTTACAGCTTACAATTAGTCTGACACAGCATAAAATTAAATTATTTAATGGATTTTGTTTCATTTATCATTTTCTTTTTTTATAGCCGCTGCGAGGCAACAAGCAAGAACAATACCGACAATCTAAAAAAGAAAAAAAAATTGATATTTTAATTCAAAATATTCCTATAATAACATTTGATGAACAAATTTAAATACAATTTACATTTTTGTTACAATAAAGAGCTATATTTACATTTTTGTTACAATAAAGAGCTATATAATTCTTAAATTGAAAAACTTTCTTTACATCCATTACTCTTTTACTTAATACTCGTTTAATTTTATTGCAATAAAGTAACGTGCCAATATAGTATTATAGGCTTAAATATGATAGGTATAAATTAAAACTTTACTCGCCTCCACAAAAGCTATTCCAATGCCCACACCAATTAAGATTGTCGCGCTATTTTGAACTCGCATTTCCAACTTGCTAAAGCATCCTTCTGTATTTGCCGTCACGATTTGACAGATCGACAATGTCTCATCGCAACATGATGACGGGATGATCCAATCTCTAGGACCATCCACACCGCAACATTGCAACTGTCGTATAAACAAGTAAAATAATTATTGATATAATCAGACTTAATTAATTTAACAAGTTTAAACAATTTAATGCTTATATTTTTTTTACTTTATTCATAAATAATTATTTTTTGTTTATTTTAGCTGGGCGCCAATACTGATTAAAAATAGAGTAGATCAAATCGAAATGGATCACAAGGCGAATCAGTGTAAATTTTAAGAATTAGTCAAAATTTGTCATTAATTTTGTTTTTTTTTTTCAAACGAATTGTTTCATCTTGCAAGTTAATTTCTGCTTCTTCTACACTAGGAAAATAAATAATTTTTTTGTAGTTTGTGTGATTCAATATCAATCAATATGATGATATAATTATATTGATATAAGCGCACACAGATCGTGAGTGCACGAAGCATTTTTTTTTCTTACACAAATCACGATTCCAAAAAAAAATTACATTATAAAAAAGTTTTATAACTTTGTAACGAAAAGGTATGTTGAAAATAATAATAATTTTTATAGTGTAATAATAATCATTTTTATAGTTTGCTAAATTAGTTTAGTAAACTGATGTTCGCTTTCTTCAAATTCGGAATAAATTGGATAATTTATTCTTCTTAATTTTTTCATTGAGCAATAAGAAACATTTTGTTTATGTATTTTATTACATAAAATCTAAGCCAAAGTTGGAAAAATTTTAATAAAACTTATTTTATTGAAATTTTAATAAAACTATTAGGTGTTGGAATTAATTCGTAGCGTTTTACAAGTGATGGGAAGTACTTTCATTAATGTATTTTTTAATGCTCATGTGAAATAAATAACATTCTTTCATTAAAAACGCTACGAATTAATTCCAACACCTAATAGTTTTTTATTTCTTTTTTTATAATGAATGAAAAATGATCAGATTTGCCTCGATCAATTCTATTTATTTACGCGATTTAATTTATATAATATATTTTGTGACACAAAACTATTGTTGTCAAAGTAGGACAAAGTAATTTAAGGTATTGAAAGATATAAGTGTGTTAATACGAAGAGAGTTAAAATAGTCAATGTACCTACAATACTAAAACGATTTTAATTGTCTATTTGCACACGATGATTATTCCAAGTGACCTAACCTATCATTACAGAAACCATTGTTTTCTTTATGGCACGGAAGCTATACTACTTCATCACCTTTTGTATCGACAAATCCATATGTTGTGCTCCAGATTCAGTTTACTGACCTTTTTCTGTATGTTATTCCAGGCTTGCTTGTCACTCTCCGTATAATTTTTCATCGATTCCTTTAGGGTATTCTTCATCGCCATGCTAAAATCGTTTTTAAACACTGCCGCCGCTATGCCCACCGCGAGCTCAATTACGAAGATTATTAACAATGCGACCGCAAACTATATAAATTATTTTTAATATTAACATAATTCAAAGATTATATACAACTATAATTTAGAATTATTTATTGTTTTCCATCACAAAAAAACAATAATATTTAAAAACAAAATAAAATAAAGACATTTGAAATTATATATACATACAGTTTTATACATATATTTACCTATATTAAATAAACATGAAACTTTAATTTTAATTAAGCTTTTTGAAAATTTTATTGAGATAAACTCAAATATATAATAAAAAAATCTATCATATTAAAATTAACAGAACTTTGAGACATTTTAAAGTAAACAGATTAATAGAGAGACAGCTAATATTTTTAAAAAATATTATCAAATTTTTAATAATTTCTATTATTTCGATAATTATTTAAGGAGTTACATACACACCTAGAAGCACTAAAAATAACCTCATTCATGAATTTTTTTCTCCGAACATATCAAAAATATCAAAACGAGGTTTGTATCAATGTTTTATATAAGATTTTGTCAATAAAATGTAAAATTTTTATTAAAAAATATTAAAATGCAACCAAAATATTGTTGGTATCAAACATGTTAGATTCTATAACTGTTTGCGGTACCCACTGTATAATCTATATGGTTTATCCGAAACACAAAAATGTAATAGATTAAAAATATATATATATATACATACATATAAATCTAGTTTTTATTATAATTTTTAAAATTTGATTTTTAAAATTCGCGTTATTGCAAAATAGAGCTTAGTTAAATAAAAGTGCTAATGTTGTCTAAAAATCGATCAGTTTTTTTGTAAAAACAAAACTATAAGGCTTAAAAACAAATCCTATACTAAAAACTGCATATTTTCACACTAAATAAATAAAAAAAAATCTGAGTTCGATCCATTCATTCGTTTTCGAAATATATTGAGTACTGATTTATAAAACACGGTTTCGAGAAAAACGCGTTCAAAGTAGCAATATATAGATGATTTTATTTTATTTACATAAAATCATCTATTATAGGACTGTATAATAAACCTCATTAATTCTTGTTAAATCAAATTTAGCTTGCCTATGACGCATTCTTGTTTTCTTAAACTATAACTTTTAATTTAAATTTATAACGCTATAACTTTTTTATTTTTTGAACTATTTTTAATATAATTTATAACGCTATAACTTTTTTATTCTTGTATTTTGAATTGTAACTTTAGAAAAATAATCTTAAGATTTTATATTATAAGGAAATTGGAAAATAGATTTTTTTTATCCACTTAGGTGTATGTAACTCCTTAATAGAAAATTTTTATTCTGATTTTTTTTAATTTTTTTGTTTTTTTTTTTAAACTTACCGCAATCAACATATTGTAATGCTCCTTTATTGCTCCGTAACATCCTAGAAAAGCTATGGCGAAAACAATAGATCCCGCTACTATAAGTACTATAGGTGGTGCCATTATTCTATTTTCCATAAAATGATCGAATTCGCCGACATCTGCTAATACCCATGCGCCAGCCACAATAATACCTATACCAGATATCTGAAAAAATTAATTTTAACTATTGTTGTATACGTATTTTTTTCGTCCGAAATTTTTCTTCTCTTTTACATTTTCTTAATTTTTCAAAAAATAAAAATAAAATGAATAGAATTAAAATGCATAATTTTTTAAATATATTTATAAAAGTACATTTCTCTTAAATAAATATCCTTTAAAGGTAAGGTTTATTAATTAATAAAAATAATTATTGTTGTTGAAATTTCTATATGTATATATTAGGTGTTGGAATTAATTCGTAGCGTTTTACAAGTGATGGGAAGTACTTTCATTAATGTATTTTTTAATGCTCATGTGCATATAAATACAATTTTTTCAAATAAATATTCTTTTTTTAATAATTTTTATTAATTAAAAAAAAGAATTATTTTAAAATGTTACAAGAATTACAAACAAAATCGAGCGATGACTATTTATACATTCATATTTCGTCTTGTATAAATAACTGAGATGTATTATTAGCGATTTTTCTATTTTATTTCGCTCTCGCTTTGTAAAAGTTGCTTTTCTTTTAGAATACATAGTCAATACAAGTATCATTCTTTGTTATTCATTGAATACCAACAAGAATATAGAATGATGTTTATGTCGACTCTGTCTTTCTTACTATTAGATATCAAAGAAATAATAATAGTAATAATAGTAACCTATATAATCTCAAATTATATGTAATGTACATGTTAGTTATAATTTTCCACTCAACATATAATTGTATAGTAATATAACATGTGTATCATATTACAGTTATATTGTTAAGTGGAAAATTACAATTAACATGTACATACATTAGTTACATGACCAGAGTTGGGAACGTTACTTTAAAAAATAACGTGTTACCGTTACAGTCAGTTTTTGTTAAAAATAATTTGTTATCGTTACTTCAAGTTACTTATTTTTAAAAGTAATTTGATACCGTTACTTGAAAAATAACAAATCGTTACATTTTCGTTACTTTTCGAAAATTGTTAAGTTTTGCTCCCTCATGTATATGTTGATAAAATTAGGTTCATTCAACGCGTTTATGCACAAAAAACGATCGAATTTAATAGAAATAAGCATCAGGAGTTAAACCATCATTGAATTTAAATTAAATATTGTTTTTAAACATTAATGTTATTATTAAGAATGTATTTTCAAGATTCACTTCTGGTACTGAAAATCTGTAGTATTAAGTAATATGTATTACAGAGTTTCAACACTGATAGCGACTATCAGAATGCAGTCTAAGATATAAACTATAAAATATTTTTTAAGAATTAAAAATGAAAAAATGAACATTTTATATAATTATATTTATAATTTTATAAATAATAACCTTTATTATACAGGGTGATCTATTTAAATACTGACGTATTTTGGTCATGTTATCTTTTTTTCTAGATGGAGGCGTCAAAAAGATATGAAGGTCACTTACACTTTTTAAAATGAGATTGTATGATTTTTTTTTACACAATATGATATATTCTTCTAATTATTCTGCATATAAAAATATTAAGATAGAAATTAAAAAACCGATAGTTTACGATAGAATAGGTAGTAGATAATTTACGATAAAGAGAGTAGAAGAGGATAGAATAATGAGACAAATTAGTTAGTGTAAAGAATATCGTTGCTCTAAAAAAATTGTATGCAAAGTGAATAATTTTTTTAATAAGCAACTATGTGTTTTCTTTTCACCAATTGATTCATCTCATTATTCTCTTCATAAAAGTATTAAGGTACGATTATCAAAAAAAATTAATAGTTTACGAGTTATTTAACATTTTATGTCAGTATGTGCCAGAATAAAATGTAAAATATCTCATCAACTATTAGTTTTTTGATATTATCATCTTAATACTTTTATATGCAGAATAATTAGAGGAATATATATCATATTGTATAAAAAAAATTATACAATTCCATTTAAAAAAGTGGAGATAACCTTCATATCTTTTTGACGCCTCTACCTAAAAAAAAAACCAACACGACCAAAATACATCCCCCTCTTCCGAAACTCTTCCACTTTCATTTGAAACATTTTTTTATATCATCAAAAATAGCAAGATATTTCAAATAATCGATTTAAGTAGACCATCCTGTATATAATACAATGTTAAATTGTAGATACGTTTATACGAAAGAAAGTCACCGATACTGACAGATCTTTTAAAGTGACACCCCCTTATTTCTCAGAGACTAATTATTGCATTTTATTAATACTAATAAAATAATGATGTTTAGCTAATTGAAGAAATACAAATTTATAATTCATATATTTGTGGCTATACCAAATCAGCTGAAAACGAATTCTACAAATGCGAAAATAAAATTCTTACATCTTCTTTTGTAAATAGCATAGTTTAAATAATAGTGACTATATTATTGATAATATTACGTCATTTTAAATGCTTATAATTTCCTAAACCAGTTTTATTTATATTATTTTTTCTCTTTAGTTTTTTCATAATACGATTTGAAATTTTAAATTGGGGTGTAGCATAAATTGCCACACCTGTCTGTAAAATAGAGCATGACTTAATCTTTATAATGTTGCTTTATAGTGTCAAATAGCTCTATTGGAGCTGAAGACAATCATGTATATATGGAAAAATTCTTGAAAAATTGTTGCATATTTGCATCTTATAGAATAGCGTAAATATGCATATAATTCAATAAAAATATTTTATAATGAAGTGAAAAGTTTCTGGAATATCTTATATACATACATTTGTAGGTACATTATATAGATAATTCTTGTAAAAGAAAAAGAATAGGAATACGTAGCATTACTGTCTACTGTGTCAGTTTTGGAACCCATTTTGTCAGATGTTCATTTTTGCTTACTTCACAAAAAAATTAATTATTGCAAAATTGCAAACAGTATTTAAAAAACTACTACTGATGGAGAGAGAACTTGAAGACACTTTCTAGTTTGTACTTATGTTTTTAAAGTTTTATTTTCATCTTTTGTTTAAGAAATATTGTCTAAAAACAAAGTAATATGTCAATATCGATGACTTTCTTTTATTTACACAAACATTTAAAAAAATTTTAAGTATTTCGCTTACTTGTAATAACAACGACACAACTTGGATAACTAAAAGTACATAGACTTATATAAGTACTTATATATAAGTACTTATGGAAGTATACTTCTTATAGGAACACAAAAGCGGAACATCTTTCAGCTGTTTAACTAGTTCTTCGAATTCTAGATAACAACCGAAGAACCGGTTAAACACAATTTTACAATTTTGGACTTTCAAACTTCAGGATATCTATTTCGATTCGTAATATCTTAACAGGAATAAGTATGTAAGATTAGCTTAGAGCGATAATTTTTATTATGTATCATATGTAAGTTCATTGACATTGTAAGGGGTTATATAAATACGTTTTTTTTATTATCACTGATAAGACTTTGTAAGTCAAAACGTTTGAAATTTATATGTATGTAATTATAAAGACGAATTTTATCAATTAATTGCACTCGTTTAAAAAAAGCTTTAACATTTTAATTTATTGCGTTGTATTTATAAGAGCCTATTTTTCTATGCTAATGAGAAAATATTTAAAAAATTACAATCAAAGATCATATTTTGACGAAATTATGCTACTTTTAATGTGATTTTCAACATGTTCCCATCAAATCAGTTTGAAATAAACGTTTGCAAATGGATTCAGCACATCAAAAAATATAAGAAAACATGTATAAGAAAGATTCCATCGTTTAGATCAAAATCTTACCCTTTTTTTGAGTCAAATTTAATATATTTTTTTAGTTACAAGTCTTTTTTTTATTTGCTTTTTTATTCAACATTGAAGCAAAAGTCACTTTTATTTCAACGTTCAATAACTCGGTGAAAAAGAATCGTACACTCAATAAAAAGGTCAATTGAAATTAAAGATTCACTCTTTCGACTATTGTAAACCGCATTTTTGTGTGATTTTTACTTCATGCCAGAGACCTTCGTAAAATTTGTACAAAATTTTCAGATTTGACAGATATCCATTTTTGTCTGTATAAGCTTCATAAAAGAGTCAGATTGAAATATCAATCCGATTCAAAAGTAAAGATTTCAAACTTTCAAATGCTTTTTTGATTTTTTGTCTGCGATGATTTTTCACTGAATTACAGTGTTCTGAACATTGCGCAATTTTGAGCATGTTCGAAAGTGTTTCCTATTTTGTTGAGTAGTGTATTAGAAACAAGGAATGGAAAGTTTTTTTTTAAAAGTAATAAGTTACAATTACTCATTACCGAGTAGAAAATGTAACAAGTATAATTACCAGTTACCAATTTTTTAAAGTAACTCATTACAGTTATCGTCACTTGAGAAAGTAACTTTTAATTATTTTTCCGTTACTTTTTTTAAATCGACGACCACTAATCACAGCAGACGGATGCCTAGGAGTTTTTAAATCTTAAGCGCTATGAATGGCTTGAATCCAAGCTTGTCCAATTGAATCGTGTCTAATCATGTACAAAGTAACGATAAAATTAAAATCGTTACCGTTACCAAAAATAACTACATTTCATTACAGTTATCAAAAAAAAAGCAACACATTTACCAAAGTAAAGTTATCAAAAAAATAACTTGTAACTTCGTTACGACACAAAGTCGACTATAAGTGACTGGAGAAATCAAGAGTCGACTTCAAAGTCAACCCGAATATCGACTAATAATCGACTAATAGTCGACTAATACTTAACGAATGTCTCAAAAAAAATCGATTAAAAATCGACTGAAAGTCGACTATATATTGACTAATTTTGTATTTGATGCGTTCTTTAGATATTTTTGTACGCCTTAATTTAATTAACAGTTAGATGTACAGCTCTCTCTGGCTATGGTTTGTATATATTATATATATATATATATATATATATGTAATGGACTAAATTGAGAGGAAAAGTCTTCTACCATTTTGCAATTGTCACAATATAACAAGATATTAATTGTTAAAAATTTCCGAAAATTGGTCTTCAATAATTTTTTACTCAAATATAATATTATCAACTTTATAGAAAAACTGCAAGAGATAAAAATTGATAAGAATTTTTTAATGCCGTATTTTCTCATGTTGGTAAAAATAAGAAAATACAGTACTAAAAGGTTGATAAAAAATTTTGAAAAAATTCTTACAGCTCTATGAGAAGAAAATATATAATTTTTGTTTCTTGCAGTTTTTATTATAGTATTGGAGTAAAACATTATTGAAGACCAATTTTCAACAATTTTTAGTAATTAATATCTTCTATTGCAAAAATTGTAAAATGATAGAGAACTTTTCTTTTCAATTTAGTCCATTCTGCTCCTGTGCGAAAGATTTATCATTACTTTCCAAACACCCTGTATGTATCGTATATAATAATAATACTAAAAATTATATTTTTCTCTTTTTTCGTGCATAATTTTATATATATACATATATATATAAAACACATTTTTTTTTATTATAATATATTATAATGAACAAAGTGTAGTTAATGAATCTTTTTTTATTATTATTTCATAAACGATTATATATTATATATGTATGTAGCTTAAAATTATAAAAAATCTGTGAAGTTTGAAATACGTACAATATAATAATTATTTAACATTAAAATATAATTTTTCATAATATTGAATTGTCATTAATTTCTTGGCCTTCTTAATCTTTTTAACTTTAATAATAAAATATTTCGTGTGCATGCGTGCATGAAAAGTAAAGCTTCTGTCATCTTTAAGTCAATTTACAGTCGACTCAAACATAGTCGATTAATAGCCAACAAATAGTCAACTTATAATCGACTCATAATCGATTGTTGAAAGTCGATTTTAAGTCAATTGGGAACAGTCGACTTTCAACAGTCGACTATATGTCGACTGCAAGTCGACAAACAGTCATTCATGTTGTATGGGAAATAGCAAGTTACTTCCATTTCTTGATCAAAAATAATATAAATTGGATATTGAAATAACAAAAATTTGACATTATGTATTTAAGTATATTATTTAAAAGGAAAGTATATTGTTTTAGCTCACACATATTACACACACACGTACGTGTGCGCGCGCACACTTACACAAGCATGATTTATCATTTCTTTTTATTAACAAATGTTTATTTATTGTAAATAAATCTTTAGTTAGCACATACTCACATAAATTTTTATTGAAATTTGTATTGTTTTCTCAGTGTATAAATAAAATTTTCGAAAATATTAAACTACAATTTAAAAAGCACATCACAAATAACCGAATTCTTTTGCGCACTATATAAGTACCTGAAAGTATTTCAAGCAAAAAAATTATTAAAAACTGGCTATATCTCAGAAAATAAAAATATAAAAATCAAGAAAGGATATTTCCTATAACTAATTCACTTCAAAAATTTGTCACCAAGATCAATCCTGACAAAACTATTATTCCTCTAACTGTTATTCTTCCAATATTCTCGTTCTACTTACCGCGAAGATTAAGTTGAAAATAAAGAGGATGTATTTGATAACATTCATTCCGCACGATTCCATGATGTTTCTTCGTATTTGTCTATCGTTAAAATTAATTAAACTTTACTTAGATTTTATTATTATTATTATCGTTCCGAATCAATTCGCGGGAACTTAAAAATTCAGACATATAGTCGATCAGCCGTTCCGTGCGGCAGCCGTACGGTCAATGAGAGCGATCTAGATGGTGCTCCTTTGTCCGAGCCTACAGGGAAGGTTTCGATCGAAATCCTCGGCTTCGAGGCTACCGAAGGCGGGAGCGCGGTTTCCAGGTCGAAGTCCTGCGTTACAAATTCGTTATTGGTCTGCAGTTCTAGGCGAAGGTGATTGTCGACGGTAACCATGGTCACTTATTCCCTCGCCATTGACACCCTCCAAAGTAAACCTCTACAGAGTGTCGAAAAACACAAAAAGAGACAATCAATATTTATAAATGTATTATCTTGTAGAAAAACATAGTTGACTTTTATAGTGAAACAATATGATTTGAGTTTGTAGTTTTATTCTCTGCTTTAAGAAAAAGAGACAAAGAGGGGTTTTTCTTAATAATTTTTTGAAACAATGAGACATAAAACTTAATATCACAAGGAATAATATGAAATTTGTCTGAATATGGTTTCCGGTATTCATTTTTCAAAATTATTGAGCAAAGTAAATAAAGTCGCTATTTTTTTTGACCGGCGATACTAGCGAAAGCGGGAGGCCTTTTATATTGTATAAAAAATTTATATATAAACACATTAACACTTATGGAATATCTTATATTATATATAAAAATGAAATAAATTTTCATAAAAATTTTCATAATGGTGAGCACTAATATGTTCATTAGGTTGAGCACAATTGCAGTCGGAGAATGTCCTTAACATAAAAGTAGCACAATTTTGTCAAAATCTAATCTTTGATTGCAATTTTCAATATTTCCCTATTTATATTTTCCTATTAATTCAACTTGAAATTAACGTTTGTACATAATTTAACACATCAAAAAAAAAAATAAAACAAAAAACATACATAAAAAAGATTTCATTGATTTGGTCAATTGGCTTATTTTATTCATTATCCAGACTATTGAGTAAACTAACCAATTTTAGCCTAAGCAATAAAACATTCCTTATGTATGTTTTTTTTAAGCTGATAAAAAAAATATTGAAAATTGCAATAAGAAATCAAAATTTGACAAAACTGACTACTTTTAATTTTACGATTTTCCCATTAGATTAGTTTAAAATAAATGTTTGTTTAATATCATTGAATAAATGATTCAATCAAAACGTGCGTAAAAAAGATTTCATCATTTAGGCTGAAATCGAGTAATTCCTCTCCTTAAGGGGATCTTAAAGTCGTCCTGTGTTACCATGATTACGTTTTAGAAGAAATCTCTGAATTCGCTTCACGGATTGTAAAATTTTTTTATAAAATTAAGCAACGCATAAAAAGAAATCCCGGAAAATATGATTTCACGAGAAAATTGGAAAAAATTAAAAAATTTACTTTTTCTGACATGTACAATTGTCACCTGAGGTTAACATTTGCTTAATATAAAAGTTTTACAGCTTGTAAATTGAAAATGAGCGTGATTTAGGCGGGATTTAAATTGTTTGAACGAACAATACTGAATTTGTGGAATTAAGATTCAAAGCAAAAAATATTTCTTCTGAAACAAAATTGTGTGTTTTGCAAGGATTTATTTTTTTCCTCTTTTACATTTTTTCCTCTTTTTCAAAAATCCTTTTCCAAGATTAAAGTATACATTAATACGTGTCTGTGAGGTGGAATTTATTGCGAGAATGATAAAAAATTTTGAAATTAAAATTTCAAAAATCTGTAAAAAAGGAAAAAAATTATTGTTATACAAAAATTATGATTAGCCGGTAATACAGACGAGACTTTAAGATCTCCTTAATATCAATTGATTTCATCTTCCTTAATATTAATTGACCCCACTTTCAGTATTATTTCATTAAAATTTTAACAATTGAATATAAACATCAAAATTATAAAAAAATCGATAAATTAGAACATCCTATACATTGAGAAAGCGCGAGTGTGGAACAGACAGCGCACTGGTCTGATATATGGGATAGAAATCCCGGGTTTGATCCTTGGCAGAACCGAAAAATTTTCATACACTCGTAGCTTTTCTTGGAAGACAATGGCAAACCGAGTAATATGGTTTGCTGTTGTCTTCCGTGGTCGAATAGTATACTTGCCTAGAAAACCTCCCTATCAAAAATTGCCATTCGGAATCGACGTTTAAACTGTAGGTCTCCATATACGTTGTGTACGATCAGTGTACGCGCAAAGGTATATAAGAGGGAAGCGCTGAGATAGCGTATGGCATTTCAAGAAAATACACTGAGGAAAACGGTTTGGTTAAAAATAGACACATCAAAAGATTCTTATTAAATCGATCAGAATTTCGGTTATTTCAACTAGAATTTTAATAGATTTAACAAAAAGTTTTATTTTTAACTACAGTTGAATCAATTAGAAAATTTTCTGGTTAAATTTACTAAAATTCTAGTTAAGATAATCGGAATTCTAATTAATTTAAATCAAAATCTTCTGGTTTGTTCATTTTCAACTAAACTATTTTTCTCAGTGTACGAATCAAATGAGAGCATCTCATTATGTTCTATATACAGCCGTTAGACATTCAAATTCCTTGGAATCATTCTATTATTTTACGAGATTGAAATATTTCACAAAATATTATTATATTCATTAGCTTCGTTGGTACAAAAATACAGTATATGCAAAAATCATGTAGAAATTAAATAGAAATTATGATACGTCTGAGCTTCGATAATAGATCTGGTTGTTACCTATCATGTCCTTACCTATCATATCGTTGATCCTGGATTACACTAAGAAGGAAATACACTATATATTCTATAACAAAGTATAGTTTTATACATAAAAAGATCTAGTCACTAGTTTCATCAGTTTGACTTTGGGTGGCATCACCAAGGTCAGGGCAAAGTCATCTCGGATTATTTAAACGAGATCCCCTATTTTTTCTTTCTTTTCTTATAACATTTGTTGAGATCTTTTCGAAGCATTATAACTTTATCCACTTTGAGTCAGCTATTCCAAAGTTATTGAATATTTTATGATAAGACTATAGGTGAATCAAACATGAAAACTTCACTTTTTTGCTTTAAATCTTATATGTTTCGTTTAGCAAGTCATAAACTACAACATATGAAGAAAATTGATTTTATTGAAAATCGATTTCATATACGATTAGTGCAAGATTTTTTGAGTCAAATTTAATACATTTTTTAATTAAATTTTTTAACTTTATTATTTTAAAACAAAAGAAATAAATTATTTTCATTTAAATTTAATTCCATTGTTTTAATTAAGAGAATCCTAAAGCTATCTGTATTATCGACTAAGGATTGCCCGATTGCACCAAAACTAAAACTTTTTCTGTCTCTGTCTCTTTTTGGCTTTAAAAAGAGATAGATAGAGTTTTAGTCTCGCTTAAAGTCAAACATGACATTGATGCAACTGGGCCTTAACTATACAATTTTTGTATAATACTTTTTGCCTGATATAATACTTTTTACAGATTTTTTTAGGATTAAAATATACGCATTAATATATGTTTGTGAGATATATAGAGTGCTGTCAAGAACATCAACAAATTTAAAAATTAAGATTCTTTTTAGTCCAATATGGCGCTCTAGATCACATCATAACGACATTTGCTTCATATAAAAGCTGTGCAATCTGTATTTACGAAATAGTAGTCTTCAAATAAACTATAATAGTTTGCACAAAGAAACAACGTGGAGTTCCAATGTAGAATTGAATTTAAATGTCTAATTAAAATTATTATTATACAAAAATTTATATGTATGTATGCATGAGATATTGTGGGAGTAATACATAGTGATGTGTATAGTGACACGTAAATCGTTTGTATGTGTAAGTCCTACTTACTGTGACTAATCATCTTTAAAATTCCCTTAATATCGAATAAAAACAGTGATAAAATAAAAACGATTAAAAGTAACTGAAATGGGGTATAATTTGACATTATGAATTTACAATGTATTTTTCTCATATGAGTGACAATAGCGAATGTTATTTCATCAATTTATGAAACGGCAAATGTTCCATATAAATATTTCAATTATCTAATTCCAAATGCATTACTTAGAATTGCATTGCGCCTGAAGCATTCTCTACGGACAAATGCAATCCGCCGTAATTTTATCAGAGATCAGACAAACCGCGCGTGAGCATCACATTAAACGAAAGTCCCTCACAGTTCAATAATGCCACATTATTTACATATACTCGGTAGAACGTGCAAAGTAGGTCACAGGCGACTTATTTACGAGCACACCGACGAGTTTTTGTTTTCACGATTCGATCCACCTGATAGGCATCTATAATACATTAAGATGATCAACTCCTTAAAGACAAAAAAAAACATTTTAAAAAATTTAATATTAATTGTCATAATTAAACTTTAATAAATATTTTTTATATAATTGCTAACGAAACATAACAATATAATATTATTATATTTATAATAATACTTAAAGTATAATATTGCATGAGATCACAACAAAAATTATATCAAATTACGAGAGCATATTTTAAAAATTATATATTTGTACTAAATATTTTAAGTATTTTATGAATATCTGGTTTTTTGGAAAATAAAAAAAATCAGAAAACACATATTAATTAAAACTTATATTTCATATTTATTATTTTTATTTATTATTTCATATTTATTATTTTTACATTTAAAAATAAAGAGTAATTTAAAGAGTCCGACCAAAAGCACATTTTGACCTCCGATCGAAACCGAAATATCCGATCGAAACGAATATTCGATTGTCATTTAATTTCGGCTGAAAACGAAACTGAAACTGAAACTTAGATAAGTCTTACTGAGAGAGAGAGAGAGAGAGAGAGAAGCTAATGGAATCACATTTTTTCGGCCGGAAATTTTTTTTGATCGAAATCGACATTTTTGGATTAATTTTACACATCGTATGATTTTCAGAAATCATGACAAATTTATGTATTCTTTAAAAAACAGAGATTTTATTAAAATATCTAATTGTAATAATATAATAATATTTTATCCTCAACTTTGAAAGAAATCAAATCACAAT